TCTCTTTTTTCTCCTACTCTATTGCACTTTACGCTGACTTTGTTCATTACTTTTGTGGAGTATACATAGAAAGTCTATGTTAGTACGGGCACTTTTTCAACTTCGATACGCTTGCAATGCGTTTTATTGGCTTTGCCATTCACCGACCGAACGTTTCGAACCAGCACCGCCGCCGTTGGTGTAGTCGGTCTTTCGCTCATAGCTTGTTTGTGTTTCATTATTCATTGGTATCAATTCTGATAGCATAAATATTTCTGTGTGGCAAAAGCAAACAGACGCAATGAGCCAGTGTGAAAAAGTGGAGTCAAGTCGTTAAGTGGGTAAAATTGCAAGCAATATGTGTTGCTGTTGTTTTTTTTTCTACCATTTCTTAGCTTCACTTTTCACTCTTGTGTTCACACTCCTTTTTTTATCGCATTTTATTTACTTATTTTTCGTCCGAATCGCAGTGTTTCAGTGCTGCTGCACGAAGTCTGCATTTAAATTTTTGACGTCATTCGATACTAAGCACTAAAGTAATGGTGTATTTTAAGCAATATTACCGGAAAATATTAATAAAGTTGCGATGGAGAGAAAAGAAGAGAGAAACATAATATTCGAAGTCAATATATTCACTTGTGATCGATGATAAAAATCAGTCGATGGAAATAAGGTGATTATTTTTCATGGCATTCGAATCAGAGATGATTTTAGCGCACCCGGATATTTGTGTTGTTTTTTTGTTTTTTTCTTCGTTATACTTTACCATTTTGGTGAAAAAAAAACTTTGTATCAATATTTTGTGTGTAACATAACAAAGAACGGTTTTTGAAAAACCACATATATATTAGAAAAATATGAAGAAAAAATCCCCAAAAGTAGAAATTGCGTAATATTGCGAAATTGAGCCAATGCGCGTAATTACTAGGTGCATATGATCACACAATGCGAATACCGGGGGCAGAGAATGTAAGCTCTTTTTCGTTATGTTACACAAAATATTATTTTAAAAAAATCCTGTCCAAAGAGCTTAAGTAGAATGAAAAAACAACAAAAATACTCGGGTGCGCTGTAGCGCACTTGAATGCGTTAAAGTCATCTCTGATTCGGATGATGTGATGTGTGTGTGTTTGTGTGTCTCTCTATATAAATCTCTTCATTTCTCTCTCTCTCTCTCTCCCTCTCTCTCTCGCTGACTTAATTCGAATGAACATGAAGTATGTACGCTGTTCAATCAAAATTGTAATAAGAATCGCATCATTCGTCACTGAACAAGAATTAAATTATTATTACGTCGAAAACAATCAATCATCTCGACCGACGATTTGTAATTATGCAATCTCTTTACTTCAGCAATATTCGATGCGGCGTGACATTTATTTGTGTTTTTTTTTCTTTTTGTGTAAATAAATCAATATGAAATAATTTTTCCCAAATTTTTACCCGGAGATAACACAAGCGATACAATTGGTTGTCTGTAACGCGTACCTTTCGAGAAAGAAAAACCGTGTTTTTTTCTCCTGCTGAACCAAAACACTCCAGTACACATCAATATCAACAGTATAAATATGAATGAATAACGTGCGAAGCGAGGGAAACTCTCGAAAATGTTCAACAGAAGTTGAAGCACACTTCAATGTGGTACTTACCGCTGAATTCAAATGGTTAATTCGGCTTTACGATTCGTTCGTTTCATAAGCGATTATTATGATAAATCACATAATGAGCATTTCCGTGCGTTTCATCATTGCAGTACACGAATCATGAATTTATATATGCTTTTTCGTTTGGAAATATTTCGACGGAGAAAAATCAACATAAACAAATTATAAAATATTTGGAGGGGATTTGCAGAAAAACGAGTATGAATCAAATGGAAATGAGAAAAAATGGAATGTCATTCGAAGGACTTGTTATTACAGAGCAGCCGTTTCGAAAATGAATTCGACTTCGAATGAATTGCCAGGCGAAATGCGCTTGAAGAGTGTTTCTTAAACTTTCTGTTTATCTTCCTATTTTTCTTTAAAATCATCTTCGCTTTTTCACTATCATCCACTGACTTATCTCTCTTTCTCACTCTCCGTATCTCTGCCTCTCTCCACATCTCTGACTGTCTATATCGCTTTGCCTCACGCTCAACCTCCCTTACACTCTTTCTATTTCTATTTCCTTCTTTGCTATGCGAAAAACCACGCTGATTTTCAATAAAACCGCCCTCTATTTGTATAACGGATTTCGACAAAAAAAAAGCCGATAACCAAAACCAAACAAACCCAAAGACAAACGACCCTCATTCAGTTGAGCACATGTTTCTGTTTGAGAACCTTGTTCCCCGCGACGTCATCTTCCGCACAATTTTTCCAATGTCCCAAGTATATCGACCATTTTCTTCAACACTTAGCCAAATAAAAATGGTCCATTTTTCACTTATTTCGCCGAAAATAAATAAATTGTCATCTGAATTGCTCTATGTTCGTCATTAAATTGAGTCATAGCGGCAGCTAAGATTCAAATAAAATCTGTCTAAGGCAGTTAGCCCTCGAATGTGAGCAGACTTTCAGAAAAAAAAAAAAAAATCTAAAGTCAAATCATGTTTTTTTGTGTAGCAGCTGTTCGTGTGATCCGTATCTGGATAAGATAAAAAGTGTCTTAAATTGTCAAGAGAATCGATTCACACAACGACGTCAACAAATGGTATTTCGCTGGAGGAAGTGAATTTTTTTTTACTCAAAAGCATGTTTCGAACAGTGCATTTCAAATTGACTTAACAAAAATGTGTTTTAGCTTGTTGAAACTCCACCAAAGTACAAGTTCGTTGAAGTCATTTTAATCAGCTCCAAATCGAATCATAAATGTGCGAAATTGCGTTCACGTGTGTGGCAAAAATGTTGCGAGTGCGTCAAGTGTATTGTTGAGGTAAAAATGCGCCGCGTTGTTTATATCATGTTTTGGAAAAGTTTGCGTGAAAACAAAAGCAAAAGTGTAAAAGTTTTACCTTTTCTTATCGTTCCATATGCCAAGCAAACGCATTACACAGTCATAAAAGCGGCGCAAAGAGGCAACTGCTCACTGATTTTTATCTAAATGAAAAGTAAACAAACAAATTTATTTGGTTAATCACGGAGTGTATTGAAGATTGTAGACGGAGTTTCTCTTTCTCCCACATCCCCTTCATCTCTCTTCCTCTTTTTCTTTCCATTCCCGTGCGCACACAACGTAAAACTTTTTTTTTTATTTCAAATCTCATTTATACCCACCAAGGTATTGACTAAAAGCTCAACACATGAATTTTCACGGTGCAATGTGATTAAGTGCCGACGTTTCAGGGAAAAAGTGATAAAATTATCAGCAGAAAAAATTGGCGCAATCGTTGTTACTTTACCTCGAAAAAAAATCACTCTTTGCAGAGGATAAATAAATCAAGCACTGATTTGAGATAAGCGTTTAAGCGTTAATCCGTTTTAATTAACGTCGCTATAACGTTAGAGCAACAAGCAACAAGCAACAGGCGCTCGATTGCAATCCGATTTATTCATGCAACAGCAGTAGCAGCAGTGTCAGCCAAAGCAGCCACGTTACTCCATTTGAGTGAACATCATATACACGAAAACAGAAAAAGTGAAACAACTGACATACATGATATTATCATATTTTGACATTGATATTCATTACATGAGCGGCAAGTTTCCTGTTTGTTACATAGAAATCGATAAAAGAAGGTGCAGAAAGCTATCCGAACATGGATTCCATTGGAAAAGCCGGACATCCTGACTGCGAGGTATATGTTCGCGTTCTTTGTTCGTGTGTATGTGCTCAATGCAATCGTCTCGCACAAAATCCTTGAAACCAATTAGATTGTTGTTGCCGATAGACTTTCATGTGTTGCTGCACTGCGTTCATTGTCATGAAAACATGCAACATTCTCTCAATTCATATGGCTCCCGTACTCTTCGCCGTCGTTGTCGTCGTCGTTAACGTCGAGAACGTACGAATACGTGAAACAGAAAAAAAACTGGTCATCGACATAATTTTTACCCACAGCACATATGAAATCTATACCACCGTCATATTTTTTTTTCCATCGAGTAATTAAATTGCACACATTCAATAGCAAATTGTGTCCACAGCCACGTTCACAAATACACGTGGAACGTGTGCTATCGAGCATAGAGCACGCTGCACACTCCGAAAGGTGACCGTAATAGATTCGATCAAACTCTAAATGGATTACAATAGATTCATACGCGGGTAATGCGATTAATCGAAAATGGTTATACGAGATAATGGTCATTTTGTTCCATCCCAATATGCGGCTCTCTATGACATGATGAATGTCTCGCACACATACACACACGGGTCAACCCTAAAATTATAACATTTTATTGATTGAGATAGTGAAACCGTTGCGGTGTTTTAAACTGATAAAGCAGCTTTGATAAGTCCACTCATTTCTGATTCAAATTCATTGAACGCAATTTTTCCGGATCCACGTGACTGAATTCAATACCGGATTGACGGGAATCAATAGGTTTTGGACCAACTAAAGCTTTAGCTTGAAATAAAATGTAAGCTGAAGCTTGAAAAGAATGAAAAGATGATTCATTGTGAAAAGTTATTTTAAATAAAAGTTTTTTTTCCAGTGCAAATCAAAGATAGAACTCATACACATCCTGCTTAATCTCGACCCACCTCAATACAAAAGAAAACGTTTGTAAATTCCGTGTCACAAAGATTTGTCCTCTTTTGGATAAAAATGGGAATAATGCAATGAACGCTTTTCTCTCAACACACAAATTTTTGGTGAATTTTTCATTTATAAATGAATCTTTTTTTTTTATTTTGAGTCCGAATTGATGAATCACATTGTAACTCAATGAAAACTTAAATTTTGAACCAATGTCCTTAGTGCCTACTTCGAAATTCCGACGTTTTCTTTTCAAAGAAATTATGACAAAATTTGAATTATATTTCGTAGAACCTAAATTGGAAATGCTTATTAAAAATTCGTTCCTTTTTTGCAGGATATTGATGAATTAATTTACCGCCTGGAAGAATTGAAACAACAAAATCATTACGGTAACTATTTAAAAGATTTGTTCTTTCTGAACACTTGAAAATTGCACGTTACACAGTGTGATTCACACTAGAACAACAGCACAGGTTCACAAAATGCACAATACATTATCCACAAACACACAAAAAACGCCCAAAACAAATAAAAAGAGACAAATTGACACAAAGGCAAAACAAAAGCCAAGCCAAGCCAAGCCAAGCCAAACACAAAACAAAAACAACAACAAAACACCAGACAACAAACAAAAAACACATAAACACAAATCATTCAAATATAAACGGCTGATACACTAAACACATGATACAAGCATGATCACCTTAGAATACAAAAAGTTTGCAGTACATTTACGTACGGCTATAGACATTCCATGATGAAACGAAAGTTCATTTTAAAATATACAGCACAAAATCACCCAGAATAACACAGCACTTGAAGTAGACTCTACTAAGTAGAGTGAATTTCTCATGCACACACACACACAAGCACACACACTCACACAAACTCACACCTAAATTAGAGTAACAAAGTACAAAAACTTAAAAATTCATGATGAAAAACATGAACTTTGAAGCCTTGGTCAACAAATCAAACGATGGCATTAAGCAGGGTCAGTGTTGTTCCAAAGGCTTCACAGCTTTTGTTTCTTCAAGTTTCACAATAACGTTTTTTTTTAACCAATGCACCGCATGTCGCACACAAAACACTACACACACAAAAGACACACAGTAGCACCGCACTGGAACACTGAACAACATTCAACACCAACACCACCACCAACACTATTTCTGTGTGTATAAACACAGAGGTTTTTTGCACAGTCTCACACTGATTCCACACACAATTTTAATCACACAAAATCTAATCGAAATGTTGTTGTTGTTTTCATTTTCCTGTCAACGATTCAATTTGAATTGAAAATGTATCACCATCGGGAAATCGATACCTAAAACCGCAACTACAACCAAAAACCATGTCAGATGAACCGTACGATCGCTTCAATTTTGCGCGGCCGATAGTGTACAAAGGCAGTATGCAGCGGGAGAGCAATAACAATATCAACAATGGTGGCTACAATGTTGATGATGATGTGGTGCTACGCAATTTGGATGGATTCGAACGCACACTGGCCAATGCATATCAAATTTACAATTTGGGCGATGAATTAAACCGAAAACGTTTGTATCTGGAACGTCGATTGAACAATTTCAATGCACACCATCATTTGCCACAGCAAGCCGGCGGCCAACCGCCAAAGGATCAAGTACAAAGTGGAGGCGCATTCACACAAGAATCAGCGCTGAATCAGCATCAATTGAAACGTGCCATCGATCCAATCGGCGGTGCAAATCTGCTCAAACGGGCCGTTGACCGAATCGGTGGCGGTAACCTTTTGAAACGTAGATAAATGCGCTCAATCATCACCACCAACAACAAAACATGCGCTACCTACGGGAGTTCGCATTTAACCACCGAATTTCTAATTAACCAACAATAACAAAACAACATCAAACAAAAATATACAACAAAAAAGCATTTTTCTTCTGATAATAAGGAATAAATTTATTTTTCGACATGTTCAGCAATGAAAACCAATAACAACAACAAATTTATGTACTGATAAATTGGATATCAATGTCAGCCGGGACAGCTTGTGGTCGGGTTGGCGAAAAAAAAGAAAATTTTATCCGAATTATATCGTTATTCTTATGATGAGTTCCGTTATAACATTTTCATTTTCTGTTCGTTCGTTTCTTCCCAGTAAATTTATTGATCTTGGTGTTTCGGTGTACATTAGATTTTGAACATTTACATTCATCTCTCATCTCCTCTTCCCCCCTCCCCTCTTCCCAAAAACAAAACGGTGTAATGTCTATATAACTAAACGGTTGGCTCAGTGCTGATTTTCCATTGTGTAAAACTCTGTCTGTCTTCCTCTTGCTCTCACTCTCATATCGAATTTGGCCTATTTGCGACGCGCTGGCTTGCGTGGCCCCAGAACAAATTGACCAATAATTTAGAGAAAGAAAAAACTGTAATTTTCACGACGACCGAAACATGAGCTGGCTTATTCGAGTCGGGGTGCAATGGCTTTTTTGCACGTTTCTCTCTCTCTCTCTTGTTTTTAAATCTGTAATTTAATCGAAGCGCAAATATTGTCCATGGTTTTGAAGAACAAATGCGAGAAAAATGAAATGTAACGACAACGATTTGGGTCACGCAACACCAGTTCGGATGCAAACAGGCAAAACAATATTGGCTCCACGCTCTCACAAACACATATATATTATATATTCATTCTACAGGCAAATGCGAAGTCAAATGCGCATTTCAACGGAAATACCACAATGGAAATTATATGTTATTTTAGAATATTTACATTTTATTTCAAAGCTAACCAATTTCAATTCAATTGTCAAACAACCATCAATTACAAAAAGAAGAAGAATAAGAAGAAGGAGAAAAAACGTTCCCCGCTTTGGGAATGAAGGGAAAACAGTGGTCAGACATATGCATTTTAATTGATTTTAAACATAAAATGGTGACTAATTATTAAAAAAAAATGAAGAAGAATGAACAAACAAAACACAAATCTAATAAAAATGCAAACCGATTTTTATGTTAAGGGAATCAATTCCAAGCAACAAGTGGATTTCAATCATCATTATTATATGTCATACAATTTTAAACAAACAAAATGCAGAAAATATATATTTATTTGAATATTCCAATCGAAATGGTTTCTTCTTTTTCTTTGCCTTGCTTTTTCTCTCTTTTTTTCTTTGGACACGTTTTTTTTGCCGGAAATAATGACAGCTATTGATTTATTACGACGAAATAAATCTATACTGAAACACATTTGCGGTTGCAAGAGAGAAAAAACTCACGAAAACCAGCTTTCCACAATCTATTTGTTTTTGTAAATGCCCAAAGGCTTCTTATTTTACCATAGATTCTGCTATCAATCAAGTGTATGACTTGTATAGCTTTGAGTCGTAGGCCGCAGATGTGTTCAAAATTAAACAACGAAATTTATTCATTAAATTCGTCGTAATTATTTGCATATTTTTAATCATCATAAATTCGAAATCGGCATTCAAATGACGACTCCTCTTCGAAGAGTTTATAGGAGAAGGATTGTCTGTGGATCGACTGGACGATTTTATAGATATGATACTTAATTAAGGTGTATCGTTCACGGAAATTGTCCCTCCTTTCTTGGGGATTATTTTTACTATCAAAAAGTATTGAATAAATTGAAAATAGATTTTTGGAAGAGCAGGATTGATGATAATCACTTCAGTGAAGGGCCTTCACGAAAATGTGATGTGCAGCTCAAGGCGTGAGCCTCAGGGGAGGGATCCAGCAAATAAAAATTTTCTAGAACATAAACAGTTCATGTGAATATAAGCTACCCGTACTGGTCGTCATTGATATCTATAAAGCTGTTCAGTCGACCCACCCTAGTATACTCATTTGCTCATTATTTTCATTTTTGAGACTCAATTTTGGGCGAGAAAACATCAGTTGAAATGGCTTCTGCGGATTTTTAGAGCTTTTTTTTTTTAAAAGTAAAACCATTTTTGTTTGTATCTTTTTTGTCGCTTACGATATGCTTCTTTATCATACAGTGGAATCATCGATTTCGGTTTAAGTAATTTATTTAATCGCGTTACGATTATTCTAAACGTGATGAGTCATAACTGATGGCTTTTACGTTGATTTGCTTTATCATAAATGAAACCAATTGCTTTATATTATCCAGGGCCGTAGCCAGGATTTTTGCCAGGAAAAGGTGGTTCCACTTTACTAAGTGATAGCTTGCCCCAAAAAAACAACTATTTCGAAAAAAAAATGTCAAAATAAATTTTTGGACCAGTTCGGACCAGTTTTTTGGACCAGTTTTAGTGCCAAAGTTCTTATATATTCTCACTTATCCCGTGTACCAATTTTCATCGAAATCGGACCACTTTGATTTTTCGTGATTTTTGGCCTTTTTGCCCCATAACTCCGTAAACTTCCAAGAGCACCCCCAAATTTTTTTTCGAAATAGTTGTTTTTTCGGGGCAAGCTATCACTTGGTAAAGTGGAACCACCCTTTCCTGGCAAAAATCCTGGCTACGGCCCTGATATTATCATTTACCTCGATTCACATTTCGAACCGAATCGAGATCGATAACATGAAATATGGGTAAAATGACGGTATAAATGTCATCGATTTTGGAAGTAAATGATGGGAATAAACAACAAATCGGCTAAGGTATTTGCAAACCAATTAAATCGTTTAACAGAAATTCATATATTCTATCGGTGGAAATGTGATAAGTATCGCCAATCAGGAACAATCAAATTTGAATTAATGAAAATGATGGGAAATCACGAAATGTCTTTGTTTTAGAAAATTTCCTAAAAGCTTTTAGTCCATTCGCTTTTTCCATCAGAATTATTATAATAATTACTTGGTATTCGATGCGTTTAGAAACAGCTTCTAATTCGAATGGAAATAGAAACAAAAATGGAGTGTTAAAAAAATGGTTTTCCAATTGTGGAAGTCACTTTCATTCTGACTCACACAAACCGGTCATAATCAACGATTGTTAAGCTATATGGTCGTGAATCGAGCAATAAACGGAAATAAAAACAATAACAAAAAAAATGCGAACACGTCAAATGAACCGTACGTATAACTGTGCGGATGTCATTAAATTTTGCGATTAAAAATGGAAAATGAGAAAAGAAAAGAATATAAATCAGATGTGAAAAAAAGTGTCTGAATTGGACTTGGTTGCATCGGGTTCAGAGGACACAGAGCTCCAGCAAAATAAAATGTAATTACATGATTAATGCAAGATATTTGACACAGCAGGAGCTACAGATTTCACAACCCAGCATCGACTATGTCAATGGCTGCTCTAGTCTAAACAGTCCCCGATAAGAGTGAACGAGACAAAGAGAGAAAGAAAGCACTCAACTCTCGTATTTGGACCATTTCACATCTGTATCAACTAAGCTTTTTGCCATGAGCATCAAATATCATATAAACCAGAGCATATTTTAAATGCATAACACATTTTGCAGAAGAAACGCCTATTTTTGTCCATATTTTTCGCACATTTTCTCCATTGATTCGATTTTTGACGTCAAAATTATGCAAACGACGCACCAATGTTCCATTGTGTCAATCATCGGCGACACAAATGTAACATTTGAAATGCTGGAAATGGAATAAAGGCCATATGTCAGTTGGAATATTTCAAACAGAAATGAGCCGATTTGAATGAATGATCGAGATGCAGAAGAGCGATATAGATGTGAAAGTATTGGGTCAAAAAAATCAATCGGTCTGGTCACCGAATCGATATTATGTTGAAATACGACATATTTTGTCCAAAAAATTTCGTAAAAATAGCTTCTCGATGCGACAGAAGTCGATAAAATATAATCCTTTGCTCAGTAAGCAAATTTCGAGTGCCAAAAAATCGGACGAAAACTGTTGGCAAACAAGAACAAAGTCGATTATTCTTCATATAAGTGCATTTCATAGCGATTCGAATCTCACTCTAATTCCGTGTATTTTCGAATGGAATACCATTGTTCGGAACTAAAATGTACTCTGTCCCAAGTGTTTGCGTAGATTTGAATGAATGTGCTCATAAACTGAAGACACTTGAAACCAATCCGTAAACTAAATGCTTCATTCATTGTTCGATGAATGCAAAATCCGGGCAATTCATGTTGATCTTTGCTACTTTAACGGGCGCAAAAAAAAAGAGATACACTACATACAAATCTCATGTGCTGAGCACAAAATCTAGCGCCTGATATACGTACTTTTTGTTGCAAAATTTACGTACCGCATCGCTGCGAGAACAGGAACGGCAGTATATACATATGCATGTGAATGTATAATTTTTTTATGGGCACAAGAAACGCACTACCGACCGACATTTTTATTATCCGTCATTTAGTATCGTTAACGACCAACAACCGTTTACAATTTTATGGTCTCGCAAACGCAAAGTGCAATAATTTTTCGAGTTTGCTTCAGCAGAAAAAAAAACAGAAGAAAACAACGGACTAATACCAAGGTCGAGACAACGCACAATGAAAAAAGGATGCTCAGTGTGGATTATTCTTCGATGGTCTCATAATTCCGCCCTCTTCATGATGTGGATAGTGCAGAATAGGAGCGCATTTGTGCGTATCAAGTGTTTTTATGTATATGTGTGTTTGGGTATGTGCACTTAATCAAAATCCATGTCATGAAGTAGGACATATTGTAGTACATAATATAGGTGAAGAAATGGTTCGTTGGTTACTTCTGTTTTTATATCGTTTTGTGTAATTCGTTTAGTAGGTAGCGGTCGACGACCCAGAACAACAGAACAGAATAACAACAGCATTTTAAATGGGTAAGTACTCAATACGCAATTTACCGACGATTAAATGGTGGATTGGAATTTATTTTTTTCATTGCTGCTCTGCCTGCTTGCCGGTCCATCTGCCTTAAATGGCAATGATGAACACAATAAACACCAATTTTGTAATCATACGCTGTATTTACATATTACACAGGAAGCCACTTGCTTCTCATCATACGGTCGATTTGGAAGAGAAACCATTGCTATTCGAATACTATTCGAATACGCTGAATCCCATTATCGATCGCCGGAATTTTGATGAAGTTGACAATCATTTGGGCAAACGGAGCATTGACACAGAACCAGACCGATATCCACCCAAACGATTCTTTCTCGAACGACCCCGAGCCTTGCCCACGGTTCAGGAACAACAACAGAAACAGGTGGGTGTTTATTTTGGAACATTGAAGATAATTTTAATCATTCTGGAAGGAACTTTCCAAATCCGGAAAAGAAACTGAATCATCTGCTATTTTGATCACTTCCATCATGTTCATTTCAAGCTAAAGAAGGAAAAATGCTTTTCAATTTATTTTGGATTTATTCTTTTGATATCTCTGTCTTCATATTTCTTTCCTTGTTTTTCATTACTTGATTTCTCTTCAAGAGAATGATACTGATATACATTGTGCTACTCCATCTTTTCTTTTCTTCAAAATCCCTTTCCTTTTCTCTTGTAAAAATTGGTCATTAAATGGTCTTTCAATTTTTCTTCTGCTCAACTTCCCACAGCACAATTTCCACGAGGTATCGGACAAAAATGACTATCAAGAGTACATGAAACGTATGCTGAATGATGACCGAATTGTGCCGGTGAAGCGAAATTTCGATGAAATTGACCGTTTTGGATTGAATCGCTTCGTTCAAACGCCATATCATTCGCTGTGGAATAAACGCAACTTTGACGAAATTGACCGCCTGGTGCCGCAAATTTTCACCGACAACAAACGCGAAGATGGCAACAATGATGTGCCACGAAGTGGCAAATATGTGAAATACGTTTAAATCTGAATCTGTTGAATCCCACATCCAATATGATATCTAAAATTAATGGAAAAACCGAGAAAAAAAACATGATCGACGGACACTTTCATATCTCTGCATTTCGAATATAGTCTACTCTAGCACAGTTGAACACTAAAAAAACCAAAATCGTCAACAAGAAAAACATTTCTGTTGAACAAATGAATTGAATGAATAAAAAAAACAAAAAAAAAAAAAATAAAAACCTAAAGGATGCCTATATGTTGTGCCAAAAATAACAATTATTTATCGCGAAATTGTTTAATTTATAAGTAAGCAGTGAGGCTGAGTGATTATGTAACACACATAGCTATTAATCATGTTAATTGAATATATTTGTTCTGCGTGAATTGAAAGAAGCACTTACACAAAGCTCAAAGAATTGAGGAACAAAATGTAATGAATACAATTAAGAGATGATATGTGGTACATCCAAGCACGCTTCCATCATTCACTATTATGTAAAATTGGCATTCGATGTTACCATGTATTTAAATACTTGTTAAAATTATGTAATTTTTGGAAATATGTTTTGATGAAAGAGAACAAAAGGATGATTTTGAAGAAGAACAAAAAAAAATTGTGGAAAATCAATTCAAATCATTAATTATATACATTGTACCCCCTCAAAATTGTGTATCCATGTTTAACGAATATTGAATAAAGTCACACTCACATCGCACTCGTGGCTCTTTAATGAAAACAATGATTTTGTATTTGAGACACATTTGCTATATAATTAGTATTAACACGGGCCAGCAGTTTTCTTGTTTTCCATTCAAACATTGAATACCATCAAAATTTGATGTAATTGCCAGGTTTCAAATGCATCGATTTCGGTAATTGATCATCGGCGGAGATGATTTTAATTGATGAATTCATGGAACATCTTTTGTAACATTTTCAATCAAACTTCCAGCCAAGTTCAGACATGTATTGGGTTTATGCAGCAGATAAGTACGGATTTACGAAGCTCGTTTAGAGTTTTTGCCATTTGGCTTCATTGTTCCATTCTATAAAAAACGCTTTGTACCTTTGAAATAAGAAAGTATTTGAATCTTTCGGAGAATGTTTTGAGCTTTTTCGCTCTTCCGCTTTTCTGTCTTTTTTGTTTACTTCTTCTTCTTCTTCTTCTTTTAAATTCTTCATTTATTTCCAGGAACATTTTCGCAACACAAAGGATTATAATCCATTTATAAATGAACTTTCGTTTGCAGCCACAACATTCTGCGTAACACATTGTAGTAAACATGCATAGTTTAATTGAAAATTACAGAACTTTTAAAGCCTGCACTTATTTGCTATTGAAGAAAAAAAATCAAGATGAATTCGCTAGTGTTTTCAAATGAAAGAGCTTTATTCCTCTTCAAACAGAATATATGTCTATAGACAAAGACAAACAAGGTATATTTAATGCCATTTTTCAAGTCGAATTCTGTCAGCAGTTCAGTAATCGCTGTATTTTTTATAAACATCGACTCGCCTGGATGTTGACATGACGGGAACTTCGGTGCGAATCTTTTGAGCCGCCGTTGAATCTAAAGGTAATCAGAATAGAATCATTGAAAAATGAAGGTAATTTGTTGGTAATAAATTTGGAAAAACAAACAAATTGCAAGAAGCTCATATTTTTGCCGAAACTGGGTCACTTTATGAATGTTTTGTAAAGCCAAACCAGTACCCAAAATATACTGGGTTGGTCTAATTTTGACAATAGCCGAGATTCTCGTGAATTCTCTACTAACCAATTTCATGGAAAACAATTTCCTCCGAAATGCCTGCTTTAGTCAACACCTTTCCCAATGGATCAACAATCATCGAATAACCATATACAACATATGAAGCTTGTTCATTGCGTGCCGGTGATACAGCGGCAACAAACATTTGATTGTCAAGAGCTCGAGCCCGTTGTATTAATTCCCAATATGTATCTCCATACGAGGCATGAAATGCAACGGGAAAGATCATTAGATCACAACCTACGAAAGGTGGACAAGCAGTAAATATTCGTAAATTTGCGATAATCTCAAATGATAATTGATGTTTTTTCAAATAAAGTTCAAATGACATTGATATTAACCTTCCCTTCCGTAAATTTTGACAAATTCATCAAGAAATGCATCATAACAAATGGCAAGACCACATTTAAACCCATTCACTTCGAATGTGGTAATCTCGTTGCCTGGTTGGAACCTATCCACTTCGACTATATCGACCACGTCACTATGGGCGTTGGACAAATGAACCTATATTTTTTTTGCCAAAAAAATTGATTATAAAAATCACAAGGTAATGATTTCCTTGATCAAGGAAATGAATGCATTCACATACTTTTCGATGTTTTGCAATCAATTCGCCGTTTGGATCATACACAGCTGCTGTATTATATAGATTGTCACCGTCACGCTCGACTAAACCGCCTACAATGTAAATGCTAAACTGTTTCGACAGAGTGGAGAGTCGGCGAAATGTTGCACCGTACGAAATTGATTCGGCCATCGCTTCTAGGATTGGTAATTCAGTGCAGTACGAAAAATTAAACAATTCCGGAAGTGAAATTATATCCGGCTGATGATCATTGACAGCTTTTGAAACCATTTCATCCAGGTGGGTTAGTGTTTCGGTGAGACCCTCTTTTGCCGCAAATTGCAGCAAGCAAACGCGTAACTCTGCAAAATAACAATTGAAATATATTCAAAATTTTATTAACACGATTGAATGAATCTCACTTGTTTTGCAAGTAGCCATTCGTGTCTAGATCGTTGTTTTGGAATTTGGTGTCAAAATGTCAAGTGCTCTGCTTATAAATAGTACTGCGAATTTTGATGACAGATTTGGAATTTAAAAAAAAATGTTTTCATACACAGAATATATTTGCCGCACACAGTAGGTATTATATGTGTTAGAAGCATCAGCACAATAGCTGTGATATACATTCGACTCTTTTTAACTCTCTGATATGACGACTGTTGCGTTTGCATGCACATGTGCTCAACATGTACATTACTGTACATGCACACAAAACACAATCAAATGAAATCGTCGAGATTCACTTAACACAACACATTTTTGCAAACACAAAATCCATTCGAATACAAACACATATACAGCACCTGATCAGCTGAAAACATCACACGTTATGCCGGTTGTGCGAATGGGAAAAAGTGGGAATATAGGAACAAGTATGCAGAAACCGGCAGAAACGTATCATAAATTCACAGACGATTCATTTTTTGCCCATTTTGTTCGACAGTAAGTACAGAAGTACAACTGTCTGTGTATCTCTTGTTGCTATCTATAGCATCATTAATACCTAGATTAGATTTTTAATGGATGTTTCGTACTATATCAAGACTGTTTCCTTGGAATCGATATTACTTCTGAATGTATGGAATAATCATAGCATTAACTTGCATTAGCTTGATACAAAAACACTGAAATATCAGTTGTGTTCTTCCATCATTATCCTTAGCATTTAATTCAATGTTATTTTCGAAGATAATTTCTATCCTTTTTTCATTAACTTATGCACTAAGTATGCACTTTTTCTTAACGTTAATTTGTTTAATTTGATCCTGCCTCGGTTTATCCGGTTAGAATTCAAATGACGAATTTCAGCTACGTCACCGTTATTGATTCAGCGAATGTGCGTTTAATCCAAGTGTTTACCTCATGTTTTGGTGCATATACATTTTTATCATATTTATTGAAAGGAGAAACGAGAAAACAACAGATTGTCTTTAGTGGCTTGCTCAGGAAAAATTGTCACAATCTCCGCATTACTTAAAAGTATGTATACATATCAAACATTTGAATAAGCCTCATTTGCTAGAATTCTTTACATTCGATGGATGGATGGAACCAAACAGCGCCATCTGTTCGAAATACGCTGTGCTTGAGGTTTGAAATCGAAAAGTTTGCGCTAAAAGTTATATTATAAATGGTTTGTAGCTTGGGTTAAGTCTAAAAAATATCTTGTGTACTAAATTCTAATTTGAATCAAGAATAGCAGCGTAATCCATAGCAAAGGTAAAGTAATTTATTCAGTTTGATATCCGAGTCAGTAGCTGGGATATTTGATTTACGTGTATGTTTCAGTTGAAGGTTTAACATGTAGTTTAAAATAGATATACATTTCTGTGGCACATGTGCCTTTAAAATTGTGCCATCATTAAAAATGGTTGATTCTTGAGAATAGTGAAGTCTCGTTAAAATTCACATTGATTTGTGATTGTTACAAATTCATTGCAGGCCATCAATTCAAGTCATTATTGTAAAAATGATATTTCCAAAGTGATTTAGTCGGATAGTAAATGATATCTGATTGGGTCATCATAATGCCAAATGTAAGTAAAGTTGAATCGAACACATTCGATTGTGATACAACCCATTATTACAGATGAATCGATTAACCCTTTGTATGTATGATCAGCCGCGACCCCTCCACTGGCACCATCATCACTACACCACCACCACCACCATCGCCGCTGCCGCAACCAGACATACAGTTGCTAAATTATTGAAAAGCGATTGAAAATATTTGTATTTTTTTGAAAAACGAAATAACCGCAGAACACCTGAGCCGATTCACATGCTAATTTGACCCAATGCAATTTGAATCGTGCGCACAGTTATCGAATGTCCGCATAATCGGCTCTCTCGATTAAACCACTCGACAAAGGTGGAGTATGTTAGTATGTGTGTGTGAGTGAGTGTATGGTAAGTACCGTGATGTTATCCATTGACCCCTTTAAACAAATGGAAACATCACATACCGATTATTAGCCATTGTGTTATGTGTACGCGCGGCCGCGCGCGCTCACAGTATTGTTGCTATTGTTTGAATTCTCTCTCTCTCTCTCTCTTTTCATTGTTTTCCATTCGATGTTACATTATTCATGTGCACTGTACGTTCAAATTGAACGAGGTGCACGCATATTAAATGCTCTTCCCATACTGTTCACTGTTTCTTTCCTTACTGTTCACTGCACACCGCATGAAGAAAAAATAGAACCAAAATAAAAAATATTTTCATATTTTTTTTCAAACATTAAAAATCGTAATTCGTCGAATAATCATTACGCGTCTCCCTTTTTGTCACTTTATCGGGGGGAATTTCAATGTGTATGACTCTTCTTTTGCTTTTTTATTTCCACATCGTTCTGTTTTTCTTGTTTTTTTTTCCGCCTGTTCGACTTTCGTTCGATTGTTCTTGACGGTGTTGCAATGCAGACAAATAATAAAAAACACACACATCTTTTTGACACATTTTTTATTACCTCGAATCGGTTCTGAAATGTGGGGGAGGGCCGAAAATGAAATAAAAACAAATAAATTAGTACAACACCATGATTCCCTTTGATTAATTTGTATTTTGACATTCGACAGCAAAAATATTATTACGGAACGCCGTGATGCATATACGAACATGAAGAAGAAAATAAAAACGAACATCACACAATCGAATGATGATTATGGTGTTTGTACACACATATACACCCAAATGACTGTTTCATTTACGTCAAATTGTTTTTTTGTTTGTTTGTTTGAAGAAAGTTTTTTTGCTACGGATCGCGATTACAAACTCTATGATTGAAGGATATCATTGATGTGACGTGGGTAACAGAAGAATTGGTCATTTTTGCGAGTTTTGTTACATTTTTGTATAACACAAATGTACACAACTTTTCTATTTGATATTTGTGATTTTGGTTAATTTCTTCATTCATTCTGGTTTGCTATCATCAACTTGGGAAGAAAGAGTGAAAAGCATTTTTCTTCAAATTTAAAGCCATTTGATTAATTTTCGTCAACTTCTTTCCTTATTTGTCCACATTCAATATCTTGATAAAAATCTTCTATTCTCTTCATTTCCTAGCAAAGTCTCAATAAAATGTCGAGATTTTGTAATAAACGGCTATTTATCCAAGGCTTGACGAAAGCGCAAACAAATAATGATGGCTAATTGAGGAAAACAAACAGAAAAACTATCCATTCAAATGATGTTTATCGTACGTATGGAAACCATGTGAAATGTTCACGTGCCAGCGTTTGTCGAGCAAACAATGATTTTGTAAAATGATAGTTCTACCTCAAATATTTGCTAATTGTTTGACGATTCGAAATCAAATCCGCTATTTAATAAAGTGATTTTCGTGTGTGAGTCGAACATTGTGCTATGATATATTGGTTCGAATCGATCAACCGAATATGACGTTAAATGATTGGGCCAGGGTAATTATGCCGTAATTTATGAACTTCGATCAATAATTTCCATTTATTATTGTGTGTGTGTGTGCGTGTTTTTTTTTGTTTCAACTTAATTCTGACCCATTTTCAAGCGGCCGTCTTCTTTGCCTTCGAAGCTCTGTTTTGTTTTTGGCTTTTCAAAAACAAATTTGCGAATTTACATCAAACCAGCACAAAAATGATGAACTGATTGCAATCAATAATCGCATAAATAAATACGGCACTGCATGCAGTCCGTCCGTTGTTTCCTGCGACGCGCGTCTTTTGTTTCAATATGCTCGCATGTGTATGTGCATTAGGACATGCTCAAAATATCTTGATGGTTACATGTTTTTCGCGATCGAAGTCGATTTTTTGTGTTTTGTTGTTGTTGGTTTAAGCGTTTTTTTTCTCGTCTTCTTCTCTGGCCAAAACGCAAAAGTATCATTTAACCGATGGTGTTGAGCCAAAATAAATCATATTCGAAAAATTTATCACGTAATTTGAGCGCAGAATCAAAACACGCATACACAACAACAACGAATAATACCATGGAGGAATGAGTGAGAGAGAAAGAGAGAAAAACACGAGCCAAAGGCAATCAATTTGAATGTTCTTTATAAGTCTATCATTTATTCGTGCGCCCGTAATGTCTCGCACCGAAAATTGATCGCTTTCCCTGAACATGAACACACACGCACACAATCAAAGCCTAATGAAATGGTAAAAGTTTGGAAATTAAATAATGTTAGAAGTTTTCCAACTTCAAACGGTGTGACAAGAATGTAAACGTCAAAATGTTCACATGAACCACAGACAAACATTGTTTTTAAGACTTTCAATTAAATATTTCTTGGAATTGTGAATAGAAATTCAGAAATGGGTTTTCTTTCGATTGAGTATAAGTATTTGAATAACCTCAAAGCATTTCTTCCTTGGATTGTATGAATTATGAAGAAAATTGAATTTTTTCCATCGAAATTTGAACATTTTCTTCCAAATTGGATTTTTTTTTCTCAAAATTTGAGAAAAGTGAAGAATCAAAGATAATAAGTAAAATGTGGCACAAAATTTGGCATAAGTCAAGCGGAAAATGTCAAAATTCAGAAAAAAAAAATTGAATTTTACAAAAGACCATCCGAATTTGAAGAGAAAAATGACCAAACGCCGCAGAGCTTTTATTTATTTTAATGAAAAATACTCATTTTTCACACGTATCACTAAAGACGTTCATTCCAAACCTTGGTATTGGCCCACCTTTAATTTATTGTCTTTTAATACGTAAAATGATGCATTCCAATCATACCTTTCCCCTTCCAAACCGTTGTTTTTTGCGCATTTTTCGGTTGCGTTTCAGTAGTTGACGTTATGTGTACGTTTTTTTCTTCGAATTTGTTTGTTACTTGATTATTTAGGTGAGCAATGACAATTATTTGGTGTGCCTTGTTCCATCGTTTCGGGTGGATCATTGTCTAAATGACATATTTTACCCGCCTGCAAAAAAAAACTCGACATAAAAAATGACGAAACCAACGAAACGGCTCCAAGCGAACCGACTGTAAAACTCGCGAATGAGTGGGTGATTTCGATTATGTTGCACGCAATTCAAACGGATACACACATATGAAAAAAAAAACAAACATTGAAAAGAATGAACATCGACCAAAAAAAAGAGCGAGAAAGACACTGGAATAAAAAAGAAAAAATGTAAATGAAAATTAATAACAAAAAAATTTATTATCCACACACGCGAATTTTATATCAATTTTGTGTGGCTTGAGCGCTAAAGTTTGATGTTTTGATTTGGTTGGAATGGGGATGACGATCAATTTGATTATGGCTCTTTTTTTCGGGTGGTGGCAAAAAATTTTTCTATGTAATTTCTGTTTGGCGGTGTCGCGAAATGTTATGCATTATAAAAACTAATAAAATGTATGGGAATCAATGCATCTGTTCGCCCCGTACAAAGTAATTATCACAATAGCTAAAATTACTGAAACACTTTCTAACACTAAAAACAAGTGGTGGTTCATTTAAATCTAAAAAGGGCAAAAGGTATTTTACATGGAATTATGTATGTTCAAAGGGTCGACTCGTCTTCGGCAATTAAATATCGTTCATAATTACAGCCCAGCCGAACGGATGAACTTTTGATTTATTATTTTTAGTTGATGGGTGTTTTCGAGAGAAAAAACAACAATATGAGATAGGTTAAAAGCGGCATAGGTTACTGTGAGTGATAATGACACTTATACAGGGTGATTCATAATTCCATGCTAATATCTCTACGACAGATTCCTTGGCTCATGAGGAGTAAAAATGTGTATGAACACTTTTCCGAATTCGGCCTCTATACCAAAGATTTGGCCGCCGGCGCACTTTTGGCCGTGCCGCCGTACTTCTACGCCAAAAGCCATTGTGAGCCCATTTTTGGACATAAATGCATGAATTTTGGCTCATTGGAAAGATATTGAGCCCCACTAGATCCTCCAATCCAAAAACGGTGAAAATGTTTGACTAAGGGGTTGAAATTAACCCATACCGGAAAGTATGGAAAAATGGTGAAAATAGTGAATTATTTCAAAATAATGCGTTATTAAGGTATCGTTTTTTCATCATAGATTGAAAGATCGTAAAATTTCAGGCCGGTATGCCCATTTTTAGAAACCGATTTTGCCGTTAACCCAAGAAAACTGCGACCCAAAGGTGTCATTAGTACCCATTTTTCGAAGGTTCTTAGATACCGGGGTATAACCCAGAAACTATGGAAGATATCGATTCGTTATTTTCAGGAAAGTTGAAGAGGGCAACAAAAGCAACAAGTATGGCTGATGTGTTGATTCGAAAAATACCGTTACTTTAGTAAAAATTAAAAATTAGAAATTTCGATTTCGAGCGCCATCTACAGGTGAAATTCATAAAGTAAACAGATCAAAGTTGTTGCTTTTGACGCCCTCTACAATTTCTTTATAGATAATAAACCGATATCTCCCATAGTTTCTGAGTTATGCCCCGGTATTTGGGAACCTTCGAAAAATGGGTACTAATGACACCTTTGGGTCGCAGTTTTCTTGGGTTAACGGCAAAATCGGTTTCTAAAAATGGGCATACCGGCCTGAAATTTTACGATCTTTCAATCTATGATGAAAAAACGATACCTTAATAACGCATTATTTTGAAATAATTCACTATTTTCACCATTTTTCCATACTTCCCGGTATGGGTTAATTTTAACCCCTTAGTCAAACATTTTCACCGTTTTTGGATTGGAGGATCTAGTGGGCCTCAATATGTTTCCAATGAGCCAAAAATCATGCATTTATGTCCAAAAATGGGCTCACAATGGCTTTTGGCGTAGAAGTACGGCGGCGCGGCCAAAAATGCGCCGGCGGCCAAATCTTTGGTATAGAGGCCGAATTCACAAAAGTGTCCGTACACATTTTTACTCCTCATGAGCCAAGGAATCTGTCGTAGAGATATTAGCATGGAATTATGAATCACCCTGTATAAATCTAACAAAGGCGACACATCGAGCTGTTTGAAGATATTATGAATTTAAGTCATTAATTGGCGGCATAGCGAAAAGAGTTTGCAATTAGTAGGAATTTTGCCTCGATTTAAAGGCCTGTTGCCATGTGTATGAGCGCAATGACATCTCCACGTACGGATACACCACATGACATCGAAAGGGCATATTGGACAACCGATCAAAACTCCAACCCGATGAATAATTGATTGAACAAGGGAACGGCGAGAAAGAGAGCAAAAGCATACAAGACAGTCAGAGAGGGAGGAAGAGAGAGGGAGAAAGTGAGCGAAAAAAAATTCCAACGTCGAATAATACTTGGGCATTTGTCGCATTTCACCTGCACGATCCTATCATTACGATATTCTGTGTTGGTTGGACAATTGCTCTATAATTACATCCGTTATTACGGTTCAACATGAATTATTAACACCCATATGAACACACGCGCTCGCGTCTCCTCTTTTGTCTCTTCGTTCCATTCTCTGTCGCTAGCGCGACACTCTTTCGACTCCACACGCTTGAGAGTGACATTTAGGACTTTGGCATGCGGCCCATAAGTGTATTGACAAAACACGAAGAGTGAGAAAGAGAGAGAGAGAGACGTGGAGAGAGAGGGAAAGAGGGAGGAAGAGAAAGCGAGATGGTGTGTGTGTGTGTGTGTGTGTGTGTGAGAAAGAAAGAGAAGAAAACTGCATTCGATACTAACTGGCGAAACATTATGAACGACTTGGAACAACGCCGGTCACTTAAAATACTTTTTTCAACACATTTTGATACACATTCAATGCGACACTAATTAGAAAGCAGACTTGTTATACAGGCTACACCCACCAACATCACAACAATTTCGAAAGACTCACCTTTTTATTACAAACCAAAGTGAATTTTTATAAGGATGAAAGCATAAGACGAGCTTCTTTCAAGAACTACTTTGACGAAAAAAAAGTATGAAATCCCTAGTCCATAAATGGAATCCTTCTTTTTAAGAATGGGCAATGTTTTTTTTCTAACCAAATCGTATTTGTATTTATTAGGTTTGACAGCAAACTTTTCTTTTTGGACCTTCCATCATGAATGAATTAAAATACAAAAAATCCATTTATTTTGTTGGCACTCGTCCACTATTACCTATAATAGTGGAAAAAAATCATTTCTTCAAAATAAAAGAAATGATTTAACTCATTCGCTTGCCTAGTCATTTAGAGTGTTGTTTCAAATCGATTTTCATCATCATCATCATCATCGTTAATTAGTTTGCCCTTTTTTAGTCCTTTTAATCCATTTTCGGTTGCATACAATTGAGTAACAATCGAATGTAAATATATATCGATGAATTATTCGAGTTGTTCGGGCAGCGCCATTACTTCGTTTTCAAAGTGGAAGTTTTCAATGTAACCGGAGCAAATCCAAGAGCCTTGAACAAATCACAATCGGTATTTTTGTTATTGTTCTCTCTGTCCCCCATAAAATATGACCACAAATCGAGATTTTTAATTCGTCACACGATTATCCAAATAGATATTATCAAAGTCATGTGTCGACCAATGGCAGCGCTTCACGCTGACGGTAGTTATTGGCTTTTGTACAAGCCTATTTGCCAGTAACATGCAACACATTATCCAGTCTATCATGGCAACAATGTATGGCAATGGACGAAGCGCGAACGCTGCTCAAAAACGTTTGATTGACATGAGGCTTCAAGGGGGGCAGATATTTCATAAATATTCAGTTGAATAATTTGGGATTTTCGAATAAAAGAACTGGTGGAGTTTTTTCCAAGGAAAAAAAATGGAAACAACGCACAAAGAAGACTCATAAACTGTAAAAAAAAATTTAAAAAAAATCACTCAAAATCAAAATGCCTGAAATTGTAACATGTTCCCCGGCATTGGCCACCCGTAAAATTACCCGTTCATATACCGGTGTAGAAAAAGTCACCTCCTCGCGGGCAAAAAGCCACCACCACCTGAACGCATTTTGATTTATCACCTCGCAATTATTCAAACAGCAACAATGAAACACAGCAACACCAGCATAAAGTAAACATTAGCGTGTTGCAATTACGTCAACTAGACCGTTATAAACACGATACAGTTTGAGTGTATGCAACCAAAGGTATAAGCCAATGTAATGGGAAAATCGCGAACGGATCAAACCGATTTTCATGGGCAAACGAAATAAACAGACGCCCACACACAAACGCACACCAAACTACATGGACACACATAACAACCAATTGCTAGCGGCTTCCATACACAAACGAACATATTCATTGTGTTGTATTTGATTATCGTTACCGTTGTGGATATCATTGGCGGTCGATGGTGGCGTCGTAGTCGTCACTTTTTCATCCCTGATTTGTGTGCTTTTCTTCTGTTTTCGATTTGTTTTTGTTCATTGCACGGTCGGTCGGTCGGTGGTTGTTTGTGTGTCTATTTGATAGTGTTTTGTATATTAGAAAGACTTTCATTACAATTCGATCCAGTTAGTATTCAATGCTTATGCGAAACAGACCATCAAATTAGTTACACACTTTTATCACATTGTGCCTTTTTGTTCCGTTTATTACTGCTTTGAAATCGCCCTACTTAACCAATTCAACACACTTTTTGAACGGTCGTTTAGCGCCAACCATTTTTGACAATCATTTTGTGGGATTTGAATTTACCGAAGAGATTAATTAGATTTTAACCGATTTAGAATTTGATACGTGTTTTTTTCGTACGCAATTTTGCTTCAACAATAATAATTTGAGTGTTGAAATTGTTTTTATCAAAGAAATATAGCTCAACAGGCAGTCAAGACTATAAATTGTTTTGAAATATTTAGATCAAAGTTCAATTTTTCGTTAAAAAAGACTTTTGATCATATTATTCAGTGCCTTTTTCGGTGAAAAGAAAACCCACCTACCCCTCATTCGAGTTTCATTCCAACGAAAACTGTTTTTGAAGAGAAAGAGTCAGAAGAAGACTACTTTTGATAAGTGCTGTGAATAAATGTGGTTGTTCCATTGAATCGAGGATTAAACGGGACGAAGAAATGAAAGTAAAAATGTGCAATGGACCATTGTATGTTGACTCATTTTCAGCGTTTCAGTTGCTCAGGAACTACAATCGGCTCGTTACACCAACAGGTTTGCATTCGTTTTTTCTAAGCTTTCTGGTAGAGAAAATATAGTCAACGTTTGAATAATCTAGCATTGGAATTTAAATTAATGAATCGAGAGCTATAAAATTTTGATTGTCTCTTTGTTAATAAAGCGTGTTTTAGTTGTAATGAAGTTCATTCAAAATCAAATCAAACCTTAGTTGAATCATAAAACAGATCAACCAATCAGTCCAGAACGCGACATTTTTATTTTCTTGACCAGTTAAAAAAAAGGCATAAAAAATTGTTTGTATTGACAAAATCAATATTTTTTTATGTTTTTGAATTGCCTCACAATGAATATAAATATTCATCGAAAGAAGACAAAGAAAATTCAACAAACAAAAGTGGTTTGATTTGATGTTTTGTATAATTCAGCATCACCATTTAAATCATGGTACGATGCAATAAAAACTCCATCAAATCGATCAACATGAAATCGGATCGATGCGGTAAAATTGATGTTTGACCGTCACTGAATCCACACGGATATTGCACATCGTTTATCGAATTTATGAAGACGCAAATGTAGTGCGAATGACATTAAATTGGCGGTTCGTTGGCGAGATATATGTTTGGCACTCGCTTTGGTTTCGTATTCGAAACTATTTTGGCTTGAAAAGGGCAATATACATATATTTGGAATCGGTTGCTCTTCGAAACGTGTGTTGCTGCCACAAAAATTACGCCACAATATCGCATTACATTCCCATGTTTGTGTTTCGTTTATTTTATTTTTTCGCTTCAGAAGTTGACTAAAAGTCACGATATATTTTAACTGTTCTAAACAAAGTTGGTGTGTCTTTTTTTCTTCATTCACTTCGAGTGGGATGTGAACAGTAATTGAAATTTTATTTGCTGCTAGTTTTATTTGCTCTCTCTCTCTCTCATCGGTGTCAATACCCGCTGTTTGATACTCTATTCTCTGTTTGTTTGTTTTTTTCTCTTCTTTGGCTACTTTTTTCTCTCTCTTTCTCTCTCTCTCTCTCCCGCTCTATCTGGTGATTTTTTTTCGCAATTTCGTTGTCGTGTGTACAGATTTCAATCAGTACTATAATTTAGCTCTGTTAAAAGATTTCGAACGCACCAATGGTGCATTTGGCTTTGGAGCACCAACGGATTTCATACCACCAGCGATAAATCCACCGAAATCAACGACAACAACACTCAAGGAATACCAACCGGCCGCCGAACCGAACAACGCCATACCCAAGAAACCATCAAGTAATTATTATTTAGTGTGTGCCTTTTCTCATTTAGTTTGTTTTTGTTACTGTTGCTTGTTGTCTGACTTGAAAGCTACGAATGGATTTTAATGAATGGTTCAATCCATAGGTCCCAATCGAATGACCGTATCGTCAACATGCTCACCGACACCATCAACACAGGTTAGCAATCGATTGCAAAACGATTCGGTCAATAATTTAACCGAAAATCAAAATACATGCGATCGTTTGCCCAATGATATTAATCGATTTGATGGCGGCAACGGCGGCTATAATGAAACTACACTGGCCATTCCACCGAATTTAATATCACCACCAACGAACGCAACGAAAAGCAATGGCAATTTAACACCAGCAAATCTTCCGTCGTCCATCGATCACTTTCAGTGCATCTTGAGCCGACGGCAACGTGGCGAAAAACGACCCATTCCAGAAGAGCAGAAGGATGAAAAATACTTTGAACGACGGAAACGCAACAATGAAGCCGCCAAAAAGTCAAGAGATGCTAGAAAAGTTCGAGAAGATCGGGTGAGTTTTAGCTAAAAAAAAATCAATCAAAAGTTTTTATCAATGCGATTGAATTCGTTTGAACCAGTTGCAATTTTATATGAAAGAAAAATTAATTTTCGAAGAGAAAAAGAAGAAGAATTTTTCCATCAAAATCGTTAGATATATTTGAATGTCCGAGAATGAAAACGCAACTTCTATTCACAACACATATAAGTGAAACAAAAATAAAAAATTTATTGAAATGAAACAACAAAATCGAATTTTTTCAAAGTGTAACAACAAAAAAGATTTTTTT